GCGGTGCTCGTCGCGGTGCCTCACCCGGCCGCGCGACACTGTACTGTGACACCACCGCGACGGCCGTTATCGGCGACCTGGCCGTCCGGAAGGCCGATGGCGTCACGGCGGCGGCCAGATAGCCGCCCCGCGATTGCGCCGCCCTGGCCGGCCCTGGCTGCAACGGCCAGGGCATGCCCTGGCCGTTCGGTGCCGGTAGTGGACGACGGGGTGCTGCTCCGCTTGCTCGGGGTGCAGTGCGCCGCGATGGCGGCATGGCGTGGCGCGGCGCCGTTTGTCGGCGGGCTGCTGCGCGATTTACAGTGGAATGGATAAATCGGGCCGACGAGATTGCGCCGCCCGGTCGTGCTGCAGCAGGGCCTGCAGACTGATTCCGAGAGTCGTTTTCGCGGCTCTGTTTCTCCCGCACCCATGCGGTGCGCCCTACAGGTGTGAGAGAGAGACAGCGATGAAAACGACTCTCGGAATGAGTTTAGTACTGCAGGGCCTCGCCGCGCTGCAGCACCGCGATGACGAGGGCTTTCCTCGCGCCGCGCCAATCTGAGGGAAGCTGGAAAATGAACGGGAAGCTTGTTTGGCTCTTGGGCCGCGGCGCCATGAGCGCCATGGGCACGCTGGCGAGTGAGTTGTGGAGGGGGAAGGGGGGCGCCAATGTATGCTAATCGGGGCAGTCGGGTTGTGCCGACCTTGTTGTGGTTCATGACCCTCGTTTGCTGGTCTATATCGGGCCGGGGGAGGGGGAAATCTGTGAGGTGCCCGTCTGAGAAACAAACATCGAACTACTACGCGCTGGAATTTGAACACTTATAAAATTGTGTTGTCCGTTTTTTGCGAGTTCCGTCTTGCGTTTGGCGGCACACAGTACTGCGCACGTAGTTTCTCTTGTTTGCCTGGAGACGTCTGCTTAGTCTGCTGGCCACGGTCTCGGTGCCTCGGCCACGGCGGCGGCGTAAACCTGGCGGTATTTTTCCGCGCGCGGGCCTTTCTTTGGCGCGAACGTGGCAGGCGGTGTGGGTGTGGTGGAAAGGGGGGGGGGGCAGTTTGAGTCGCCCCGTCATGAGGAAAGCAACCCGCGTGGCGCAGAAAAAGAGCAGGCCACATGGCCCAGGCCGCCCAGGCGGTGCCATGGCGGTTGTGCCCAGGCCCCCTTCGGGCCCCGCCGTGGCTGTGGGTCGCTGGACTGGTGACTCATCTGCGACGCCCTGCCCCGCGCCCTGCCCCGCGCCCTGCCCCGCCCGCCCCGCGCTGAGCGTGAGGACTCGCATGGCCGAGTCTAGAGATGAGCCGTATGGCCGTACGCGCCGAGACGTGGCGCTGGCCCGGCCGCCCGCGTGGACAAGCACCCCGCCGTCGTGGTGGACTGGCTGGTCCCGAACAGTGTCTGCCACACTCGTGGGTGCGAGTGAGAGAGATCGACGCGGTGCGGAATCGCTGCTCGGCGGGGCGCGAGCCTTTGGGTGCTGTCACCGGGATGTTGCTCTGGATCGTGACTTGGGCCCCAAACAAGGGCTGCGGCGTCGGGGGCTTTGGGCGCTTTTCGGGGCTGGGTCGGCGTCGGCGGCCGAGCCCTGCCAGGGCCAAGCCGTGTGGCCCTACCGGCCGCAGCCGGGTCGGCGTTGTTGGACGGGATAAGCGATTCTCCGCGCGCGACTCCGCCACTTCGACTGCATTCCCCGAAGAAACGAAAAGTGGTCGCGTCCGCGCCAGTCCGCGCGGTGCGCCCCGCCCTGCCGCCGTGGCGGTCGGCCACGCCGCGCCGCGCCGCGCCACAAGCCACGGCCCGCCGCACTCTCTACTCAGCAGAACATATCCGCCCCGCGACGCTGGTCGCTGCTGGCTGCGCCATAGGCTGCGCCTCTGCCCCGAATGGGTTTGGGCCGTCCCGGCTAGGCGTCCCGGCTGGCCGTCCGCCCGTCTCGGTTGCTGAGCTAGGCGCTGGGCGGCCCGGCTGAGCCTCCACTCCACTGCCCACCCAGCCACGCCCGGCTCTTTTTGGCCACGCAAGAAAGGCCAAGACGGGGACGCTTGAAAAACTTTGCGGGGGAGCGCTGGGCCGGGTGGCCGGGCTGGCTGGCTGGCTGGCTGGCTGGCTGGCTGGCTGGCTGTGGCCGGACGCGGTGTTTGCCGTCCGCTTGTTTGACGGCCACGTGACGTGACGCGAGGGGCTTTGCTGGCTTAGCTTGCTGGCCGGCCCGCTCGGCTGTTTCGTCTTTTTCTCGCCGGCCGAGTCGAGTACGCAGTGCGCGGACTGTATGCACGCGGCCCGCCCATCCGCCAGCCAGCAAACCAGCCCGGCCGCCCGGTCAGCCTGCCAAGCGGCGCGTAGGCAACCCGCTGGCGCGGCTGTGTCGCGGGGGTGCCTGCCTGCACGGCGCTCTGGCGGGCCGGGTCCGGTCGTCCTGCTGCGCTGCGCCGCACAGTGGGCCAGAAGACCAGTGGAGGTGGCCGAAACTCTGGTCGCGTTTCGTGCTCCAGAGTCACTAAATGAGACTCGAATCGAACGTGTGACCCCACCAATGGATTGCTCTCCGTACGAGGAATCCATTGGTGGGGTCACACGTCCGGTTCGAGGCCTGTTCAGCGACTCTGGAGCTCAAAACGCGTCTGGAGTTTTGGCCGCCTCCACCGGTCTTCTGGCCCACTGTGCGCCGTGCGGCGGCGCCGGCCTGCCTCGTGCCGGTCCTGATCCTGCCGGGCTTGAATGGTGGCCGCCGCGAGCGCCAAGGTGCCGTGGCGCGCCGTGGCGTCCCGAGGCGAGGCAAGCGGCAAGCCGCTCGGCAAGCCGCGCCGGGGCCTGGCCGCGGGCCATCTCGTTGTGGTGGCGTCGGTCCCCTCGGTCGTGAACCCTGGCCGCCAGGACCTAGGGCCAGGACCCCGCCGGCACGCCGCGGCGCCGCGGCCGCCGCGATCAAAGCGGGGAGCAAACGACGCCGTCCTGGTGCCCCCTCCCCTTCTTTCGCGATGCAGAGGTCGCCGCCACCTGTCGTGTTTTTGTTGGATTTGTTGTTTTGTTTGGACGGGGGTTGGCCGCCGCCCGCGTTGCCACCCCGCGTTGCGTCATTGTGGCGCTACCACCGCCTCGCAGTGCTCTGTCTCTCTCGCACTCGTGGAGCGTCCCGTCAGGGTGCGAGAGAGAGAGAGGTTCGTTTTCGTTATTCGCACTTGCGCCGGAGGATGCCGGCCGGGCCTAGCGCGGCCGCACAGCGCAGCCTTTAGTGTCTGTGAGAATCGGCCCGCTGTCGGCGGGGGGTCGCCGCCACCTCGGTCACCTCGCCCCGCCAGGCCGCCAGTTCGCTCGGGCTGACTTATCTCTTTGTTCTCCACCGGAGTTCAAGTGGGTCAGGAATGCGCTTGGTGATGATGTCATGAGCGTGTGTCGGCGCGCGCGCCTGCGAGTGTGTGTGTGTGTGTCCCAGGTGCAGCTACCCGTGGCGTGGCGTGTCCGCGCCGTTGGCTTCTGGTCGCGCTTGCAGTGCCGCGTCGTGGCCGTGGCGGGCGAAAAAATAGACGGGATGATTGAAATGGAACTATGGCGTCGCCACCTGCGGTCCGCAGTGGAGGGGCAAGAACCGCAGGGCCGTCTTTGCCGCACTTATCGCTGTTTGCCTCCCAAAGTGTTTGCTCCGGCGGAAAAGTTCGCTGATAAAATTTGAAAAACGCTGATAGTTGTCCGACGCGAACCCGCGCCCCGGAGGTGCTCGCCCGTTGCACTGGCGGCGGGGCCGACCTGGCCGCGTTATGAAATGCTCGCTGCGAGTGGAGCCCAGAGACCGCGGCGGCATTGGCGAAGGAGGCCGCTGTCTCTGCGCTTTCGGAGCCTGCCGCCGCCTCGTTCAGAAAGATCGTTTCGCTCTGTCTCTGTCGCACTCGTGTGGCGTGCCGCAGAGGGCGCGAGGGAGATGGTCGACACGGTCCTTCAGAAGCAGGGGCTGTCGGCTGGAAGTGCACGACCTCGGCGACGGCGAGCATGGCCTGCTGCGGGCGGAATGGGGGCGGCCGACGTCAACCACGGCGACGACGTGGACGACGCGGATGTGCCGTGCTTTGTCGCGGGAATGGAATGGGGTTTCGCTGACGTGTCTGGGGCGGGCCGGCCGCCTGCCTGCCTGATTCCGCGTACTAGCGACGACTAGCGCGGCCTCACTCTCTCACTCTGACGGCGCGCCCCGCGAGTGCGACGGAGACCCCTATCTCCCTGCCGTAATGATGGCGGGCCGAACGGCTCGGCGTGGTGCTGCAGGCTGAGTCCGAGAGTCGCCTCTGTCTCTCTCGCACCTTTACAGGACGCCCCATGAGTGCGAGCGAGATTGAGCGACGAAAACGGCCCTCGGAATTAGTCCGCTGATAGCCGTGGCGATTGGGTGGCGGCCCCACCCTCGCCACGTTGCGGTAGGGAATGGCTCTAGGGGGGCGGCGGGGGGTCAGGGCCCTGCAGCCCCGCCCTTGGCGCCTCACGCCCTTGGTGTGGCTGTCTCCCCCCCCCCCCTCTTCGCTATTCGCGGCGGCCCGCCCGGCCCCCCTCGTTGTTTTGCTCGCGTGCGCTCTTCGGACGCGCGGCGAGTTTTCGCGGCCCTCCCCGGCCACGCCACCGCCGCCGCGCTCGGGGTGGTCGCGGTGCGCCACTGCGGGGCCGCCGCCGGGGGGTCAGCGGGGTCACCCGCGGCGGAGCAGATGGCTTCCTGCTGCGACCCCTGCTGCCCCTGGTGCTCTGGCACCGCCTCACTTTCCCCTTCGACATTCTGCCACTCGCCTTGTCGTCGCAATTGCGCAAGTCGTTTTCTACCCCCGTCTACTCAAAGACGCGGCCGCGCGCGCTTGGTAAACAGCGGCCGCACCGCCACCGCCGCGTCCACGCCGGCGGCCCCCAGGATGGCGATGGCGCGCCTGCGTGAGTGTCTCCAGGATGGCGACCGGGGAAAACCCGACACCGTCGTCCTCGTCTCCAACCGAGGCCCGCCTGAACACGCCGGACTAATTCTCTTTTCATTTTTCCGTTGCAGACGTACTCCGGCCTCTTCTGCGTGGTGGTGAACCCCTACAAGAGGCTGCCCATCTACACGGAGAACATCATGGAGCGCTACAAGGGCATCAAGAGGCACGAGGTGCCGCCGCACGTGTTCGCCATCACGGACTCCGCGTACCGCTCCATGCTGCAAGGTGAGGTCTGAAGGCGGCGCGTGCGTGGTGCGCCACTGCACTGTGGCCTGCACTGCACTCGACGCGGCAAGGGGCCCGGCTATTTCGGTTGGCGAGTTGGGCCACAATTTTGGAGGGGTGGGGTGTGCTCGCGCGTGCACTGCTTGCTGCGGCGCGGCGACGGCCACGCCCGGGAAGGGGGCGGGGGCGGGGGCGGGGGGTAGAGTCTTATCGGCGTCGGCTTTGGGAGTGCTGCAGTGGGCGGGCTGCCCCGTCTAGGAGAAGGGGGTGGGGGACACGGGAAATGCACTCTTCTTACCACCACGGCGGTGGTCTAAATTGGTCAAAATAAAACGGGTGTGTGTTGTCTTGCAGACCGAGAGGACCAGTCCATCCTGTGTACCGGCGAGTCCGGCGCCGGCAAGACGGAGAACACGAAGAAGGTGATCCAGTACCTGGCCTACGTGGCGGCGTCCAAGCCCAAGAGCTCCACATCCCCCTACGCGGTGAGTATGGGTCCGGGAGTGGAACGCAGTGGAACGCCACCGGACTGGAACGGGCCTCGGCCCGGCGGGATGGCCTGATAAGAGCACAGTGCACTGCACGGAGGGCACGGAGTCTTGCGGCGGCCCGATGATTCCGAGCGGGCGGTCTGTCTCTCTCGCACCCGGACTGGGAGCCCCGCGAGTGCGAGAGAGAGGGAGAGACCCCGTTCGGAACCCGTCGCGGCGGGCCGGCATGGAGGCGCGCCGCTGATAAAAGGGAAGGGAAAGGCGTGGAACGCGCTGCCGATTGTTTTGGAAAAATGTCCCAAGTAGGCTGTAGGGCGCGCGCGCACGCACACACACTCTTTCACTGACTGGACGCACGACGGGCTGCTCGCTGATGAGGTTCGGTGATGAATATTGAATTGGGCCCCGAGGAAGGAGGGGTTCCGCCAATTGATTGCGCCCCGCGGGATGTGTGTGTAGGAGCCATCAATTTTATGCGAAGCGATGCGTTGGGACGGGACGGGACGGGTCGTCGCGCGGCATGGGGTATCTAGCATCTCGCGTCTGCCTCGGGTGTCCGCGTGACAGGCGGTTTGACGCGACGCGAGCGCCAGTTGTTTATGTACACTGTAGACTCCCGCAAAAAATCTGGGAAAAGTCGCACTGGTCGCTCTAGATCGGGATGCCCCTATACGGGTTGACTCGCGGGGGATAGACCAACAGATGTTCAGACCGGTGTTATTTTCTTTGGGGTGTTGATCGCGAAACTCTTCTCGTTTGTTCTCGTCGCTCTGTCTCTCTCGCACCCATAAGGGACGCACCATGAGACAAAGAGACTCGCGGCATCAGTCGGCAGGGCGATGGATGACTGGCGCGCCGAGTGCCGCACAATGGGCCAGAAGACCGGTGGAGGCGGCCAAAACTCTAGACGCGTTTTGAGCTCCAGAGTCGCTAAATGTGACTCGAACTGAACGTGTGACGCCACGAATGGGCTGCTCTCCGAACGAGGAATCCATTGGTGGGGTCACACGTTCGGTTTGAGTCCCATTTAGCGACTCTGGAGCTCAAAACGCGTCCAGAGTTTTGGCCGCCTCCACCGGTCTTCTGGCCCACTGTGCGCCGAGGGCTTGGGGCCGAGGGCTTGGGGCCGAGGGCCGCGGGCCGGCCGACGCAGGGGGTGGTGACGGCCTGACGGGCCGCCGTGCACTGCCTTGGCCTACTTGTCGTGCTCGCCGCCGCTGCCGCCGCCATCGGTTTTGTTTTCGAGCCGCGGTTGTTGCCTTAAATGGCGCTGCTATTTGAAACAAGACTCCGCGCGCGGCACGGCATGGCGCGCCACGGCACGGCACGGTGTAGCGACGGCGGCCGATGTCGCCGCGGCAGGCCGTGCAGTACGCGGTCGTCTTCGTCCCGCCGCCGCTCCGCCCTGCAGCGCCCTGGTTCGACGCGTCCTGTCTTCGCGAGTCCCCTCCCCTACCCCTCTCATTTAATTTCGACGGAGTTGTTAATTTATTAATTGAAAATCTAATTTATGCCAAGTAGGGGGCACGGTAGTGAGGTTCCCGTTTCTCCGTACACTGTAGGCCTAGCCAGCCAGTCAGCATCCGAGCAGTGCGTCGGGCGTTGAATCTGGGCTTCGCCGCTGCTGCGGCGCTGTGCGTTGGTCTTGACATCTCGTTAAACACTTCGTCACCACGCTACCCGGCGGGGCGACCCGGGGCCCGGTCGGCCCGGCGAGGCCATGCCGCGCAGCGCGCAGCCTGCCGAGCGATTCAAAAGAGTCGTTTCGTCACTCCGTCTCTGTCGCACTCACGGGGCTCTCCGTGAGGGTGCGAGAGAGGCGGAGCGACTAGCCGATCTTCTGAATCACTCGGCCGGACGGACGGTCCCTCGCAGGGCCGCCAGCCCAGCCAGCCACTGCAAAACGAAATGGTCCGGGCGTTGTCTGGGCGCTGGCTTGCGAACAGCACACGCCCTGGTCGGCCTGATTCCGAGCAGGACGACGATGACGAGCAGGACGACGAGGAGACTTGAACGCCGCCGCCGTGCGCGGCGCGGCCGACATGGTGGACGGCACGGGGTGGAGGAGTCCGCGTTTCCTTGTAAGGGGTGGCGCGGCCGGGCGCAGCGTGGCGTGCGAACGAGGGCAGTAGGGGCAGTACGGCCGCGGCGCACATGTGTGTGTGGGGAGGGGGGAGGGGTCGCCGCGCAGAGCCAGGCCATGTAAGGCCTAATCCACGAAGCGTGCGCGGCGACCGATCGACTTGGCTCGCCAGTCCAGTCCCGTCCCGTCCCGTCCCTCCGACACCACCTGTTCCTTGTCGTCGCTCGTGTCCCACGGGGCCTGCATCGCCATCGCCTCGCCGGAATCTCGGGGGAAGCGGGGAGGGAGGGGGGGGGGGTCGTCTCTTTGGCGCCTGTGTGGCCGCGTGCTCAGGGAAGTCCCTGATTGAGTCCTCGACCCGACCCGCCAGTGGGGCCGGGCCGGCCGGGCCCCAGGCGCCTGCAGTCTTTGTCCCCTCGCCCTTCCCCCCGCCCCTTCGCGACGACCGCGAGCGCCGCGGCGATGTAAGGCCCTCTGATGGAGCCATATGGTGCACATTGGCGCGGCCTGGCTGGGCAGCCATGGCAGCCATGGCACAGCTGTTGCGAACTAGTAGCCGAAGCATTACGTTCGGAGCGAGTGTTCCCCCTCGCCCCGCCCCGCCCTGGTGGCCCTCCACCACAACGAGGCTCGGAAGAAAGTGGAGTCCGTACAAGGCGACGGGCGCTGCACTAGGCCCTGCAAGCCCTGCTCTCGCGGCTGGGCTGGAGGAGGAGGGGGGCGGGCAGGGGGTGTCCGTTAATGAGGGCGTATTATATTTTGGCGGAAAGTGTCGGCCTGGGAGTCTCTCTACGAGGCTGGCCTTACAAGGGCACGCCAGGCAGGCAGGGCAGACCGTCTGCTTGATGGCGGCGGCAAGGCAAGGCAAGCCATACACGGCGGGCCGTCTGAGTCCTCCCCCATTCTCTTTATCGGGAGACGGTTATCGCGTGTCGCGTGCTCCGTGGCGTGTGTGTGTGTGTGCGCGTGTGCGCGCCCCTATGCCTGAACCTTCGTCTTGGCGAGGGGCCGAGGGCACTGCAGGTCGTGACCGCATCCCCGCCTGGGCATGAGGCATGGGACATGAAAATCAATTTTCCGACCCGGTCATCGCGTTTTGGCTTTCGCGCGATAAACCCTTGGCCCGTGGGACTGTACCTCTCGCAGGAGGCACTGAAGCTGCATACTGCATGCGCGATGCCCACGCCGAGCATGAGTAGGCCTAGGCTCCCTGGGCAAATTAAATTGTAGTTTTATTTGTCTTATTGACTTGTCAAGCTTAATTTCTAGTTCCTTTACTTTATAAACGCCAGTCCCCCTTCCCCGCCACCATTTTGAAAAAATACAAATCAAGTAACCAACAGTGGGATTGGAATCCTCTTACTGTCTGTCTGTTTTGATTTTTTTTTAAATCTTAACTTTAAGGAAAATAACTTAATTCAATCTAAGAATGACCCTATAAGAAACAAATCTGCACTGACAGTGGCAGTGCATTTCCTTCTGAGGCTCTTTCAGTCCAACTACTACTTATAAGTGCTTGTGAATGGGTCTGAAATTTGTCTGCTTTTTCACTTATTTGGCTTATGTTTTCTTGCATATTCTGGTGGATGGGTGTACATGCACCGCATCTCCCTTGCCTCTCTGTTTCATCACGGCAGCCACCAAGTCCTGCCCTAATCATCGTAAGTATTGCTGGAATTATTCGATAGATTCCTACCTCCTCTTGTCCTGTAGATTTTAATGTTTCCCCATTGTCTAATCTTTAGTGTTTTACAGTCATAAGTCCTCCACAATCTAATAATAAATGGTGCTCTGGTCCTCTTTGCATGTTTGCATGACTGCTTGATCACATTATTCTACAACACTCCTACTCATCATCCTTATTTAGGTTTTATTGCTCCGTTACATGTTTCTTACATTGTAGCTACGTTCTGTGCTCATCTCCTATACCCTAAGAACTTCATCTATACTCTTCATCATTTTTTTTTAAAGTTTGAATTAGTGATAATTGCAGGTAGATTAAGTTATCAGACAATTAATTTATTCGTTGTGCATTATGAGTGTACAAAATTGATACTGTTTTGGAAACAACTTTATATTTCAAAGTTTCCGTCCTTTTTTGACAAAAACTTTTGCTTATTACTAAAAGAATTTTTAACATCTGTTTCATGCTTGCTTAGCAGACAACGAATTTTGCGGTAGGTATAACAAAAGGGTAAAATGTGTTTTGTGTGATATGAAAGTAACTGCACTAATTACCTGCATGCTATATTTTGAATGTATCACAATGCATTTTACTTTTGCATAATGTTTTGAAATATTTGTTGCAAAGACAGTAGTTTTGGAAAAAAAATTGAACCATTACCAGCAATTGTTGCTCTCTCTTATATATGTTGCGTAATAGTTTTACCATTTGCTTCTGTTCGTCTGTACTGTAAGCATACGATTTGAGTTTCGACACATGCATGCAAAATTTTCTTTTCAGTCTTTTATCCTTTCTCTCTCTCCTTTTAACACTTTCTAATCGCTGACATTGGATATCTATAGAAACTTTTTATCACCTTAACTTTGCTATGTTTCTTTGGCTTGATTAGCTACCATAACCTTATGATTTTGTGTTTTTGTTTCCTTTTTTTCTTCTCCCCTTTTCAAACTGAGGCCTTTTGTGAGCATTTCTTTAAAGGCAGCCTTCATTAGACTCTTACTCTTTTTTTATTACTTGTTCTTTTACTTGCCCTCTAGATAATGTGTGCCACTATGTTTATGTCACCTGAAGGCAAAGAATGAGTCACTTTTAGCAATATTGATCATTTGCTTCTCTAACGTCTTTAATTTTGTTGTTGCCTTTTTGTGTCATCTATTAATTTTTTAATGTACCACCAATCTCACTGGTTAACTTTCTGTTATTTAGGGGGAACTCGAACAACAACTGTTACAAGCCAACCCCATCCTGGAAGCCTTTGGTAATGCCAAAACAGTCAAAAACGACAACTCTTCCAGATTTGTAAGTAAATGGTGATACTATGGTGCCTTTATTTTTTGTATTTATGTCCATGCATTAAGTACAATCCTCTCTTTTAGGGTAAATTTATTCGAATCAACTTTGATGCATCCGGATTTATTGCTGGAGCTAACATTGAAACATATCTTCTTGAGAAGTCACGTGCCATCAGACAAGCTAAAGATGAGAGAACGTTTCACATCTTCTATCAAATTCTCGCTGGTGCTACACCAGAGCAGAAAAGTAAGTTTCATAGCTTCAGAACATTCTTTTATTTTATTGAATTTTATTATTCTAACTTTTTTTTGTGTGTGTGCGTGTTACAGAGGAATATATTCTTGAAGATGCAAAGAGCTATCCCTTCCTGTCTCAAGGCATGCTCGCTGTGCCTGGAGTGGATGAGGTCGCCGAATTCAGATCCACCATGAATGCTATGGGTATCATGGGCATGACAGCTGAAGATCTTTCTGCCATTTTCAAAATTGTTTCAGCTGTTATGCTTTTTGGTAGCATGCAGTTCAAACAGGAGCGTAATTCAGACCAGGCTACCCTTCCTGACAATACTGTTGCTCAGAAAGTAGCTCATCTGCTTGGTCTAGGAGTCACAGAAATGACCAAGGCTTTCCTGAAACCACGTATCAAAGTCGGTCGTGACTTTGTAACTAAAGCACAGACTAAAGAGCAAGTTGAATTTGCTGTAGAAGCCATCTCCAAAGCATGCTATGAGCGCATGTTCCGTTGGCTTGTAAATCGTATCAATAGATCTCTTGACAGAACGAAACGTCAAGGTGCATCATTTATTGGTATTCTGGATATGGCTGGGTTTGAAATTTTCGAGTTGAACTCCTTTGAACAGTTGTGTATCAATTACACAAATGAAAAGCTCCAACAGCTTTTTAATCACACCATGTTCATCTTGGAACAAGAGGAGTATCAACGAGAAGGTATTGAGTGGAAGTTCATTGACTTTGGACTTGATCTTCAGCCCACAATTGACCTCATTGATAAGGTACTTGAATAACAGAAAAATCTTGTTATATTTTTCCCTCTTCATGTAGCATTTACTAATAGGCATTTGCTTCTTCTTTTTTAGCCCATGGGTATCATGGCCTTGTTAGATGAGGAATGTTGGTTCCCTAAAGCTACAGACAAAACATTTGTGGAGAAGTTAGTCGGTACTCATAATGTACATCCTAAGTTCATGAAGACTGACTTCAGAGGTCAGGCAGACTTTGCCATTATTCACTATGCTGGTAAAGTAGATTACTTGGCTGACAAATGGCTCATGAAGAACATGGACCCACTCAATGAAAATGTGGTTTCACTTCTGCAAAACTCACAGGTAAAGTTGATTTCACTTGAATACAAAGAATTTTATTGTAGCTTATTGGAGCATCAACTAACATTTGTTTTCTTCTTCAAGGATCCATTTGTGATGCACATTTGGAAGGATGCTGAAATTGTTGGAATGGCTCAGCAGGCCATGACTGACACCCAGTTTGGAGCTCGTACTCGCAAGGGAATGTTCCGTACTGTGTCACAACTGTACAAAGAACAGTTGGCAAAACTCATGGTCACCCTCCGCAATACAAACCCCAATTTTGTTAGGTGTATTATTCCCAATCATGAGAAACGAGCTGGTAAAATTGATGCTCCTCTTGTTCTTGACCAACTGCGATGCAATGGTGTTCTGGAAGGTAGGTGTTCTTCCACATGTTTCTATGATCATGCATTCTCTTTTCCATTTATTGATGTCTCATAAGTCCGTTGGCTCTTTCAGGAATCCGTATCTGCAGACAGGGCTTCCCCAACCGTATTCCCTTCCAAGAATTCAGACAGCGGTATGAGCTTCTTACTCCTAATGTCATACCCAAGGGATTCATGGATGGAAAGAAGGCTTGCGAAAAGATGATCACAGCCCTAGAGCTTGATCCTAACCTTTTCCGTGTTGGTCAGTCAAAGATTTTCTTCCGGGCTGGTGTTCTTGCTCATCTGGAAGAGGAGCGTGATTACAAGATCACAGATCTAATTGTTAACTTCCAGGTATGGCACATGCGTTTAATTTTGAGATTTCTTTGACATTGTGAAATTTTTGAGAAACACAATCTTCTACATGTCCTTTGTATCCCTCATTTAGGCCTTCTGCAGAGGATATTTGGCTCGGCGCAACTATCAAAAGCGCCTGCAGCAACTCAATGCCATCCGCATTATCCAGCGGAATTGCTCTGCATACTTGAAACTCAGAAATTGGCAGTGGTGGCGCTTGTACACTAAGGTGAAGCCTCTTCTGGAAGTGACAAAGCAGGAAGAGAAGCTGACTCAGAAAGAAGATGAACTCAAACAGATCCGTGAGAAGTTGGACATGCAGCTGCGCAGTTCTCAGGTATTTTTGTACAATTATTACTTAATTTAATCTAATCTAATAATGCTTCTGGAAGAATTTTTTCTGAACTATTTGTTCTTTGTAGGAATATGAGAAAAGACTGCAGAATGCGGTTGAAGAGAAAAATGTGCTTGCTGAACAATTGCAAGCTGAAGTAGAACTATGTGCAGAGGCCGAAGAGATGCGTGCTCGCCTTGCTGCAAGAAAGCAAGAGCTGGAAGATATACTGCATGAAATGGAAGCTAGAATTGAAGAAGAGGAAGAAAGATCAACCAATCTAGGCAATGAAAAGAAAAAGTTGCAGCTCAATATCCAGGTAGATTAATTTTGAAATGCTTTAATTAACTTAGTGAATTATGCTTAAGAGACATTTAACAGCACTTACACTTATTTGGAATTCCAGGATCTAGAAGAACAATTAGAAGAGGAAGAGGGAGCAAGACAGAAGCTTCAGTTGGAAAAAGTTCAGTGTGATGCCAAACTAAAGAAGCTTGAAGAAGACCTAGCCCTTAGGTATTTATCTAGCTTTGTTGACTTATCAGCCAAGATCCTAGTCAAAATCTAACAATTTATTTTCTGTTATGCAGCGATGATACAAATCAAAAACTTGTAAAGGAGAGGAAAATTTTAGAAGAGAGAGCTTCAGACTTGGCCCAAACCCTAGCTGAGGAAGAAGAAAAAGCCAAGCACCTAGCAAAATTAAAAGCCAAACATGAAGCCACTATTGCTGAGCTTGAGGAGAAACTTCTCAAGGATCACCAACAAAGACAAGAAATGGACCGCAGCAAGCGCAAAGTAGAGACTGAGGTACGATTTAGATAGAACTGTTAATTAGTAGCTGGAGAAGGTGGCCAATATGTAATGCCATCCTGTATTTTCAGGTAAACGATTTGCGTGAGCAACTGAATGAACGTAAGTCACAAGTAGAAGAGTTACAATTACAATTAGGAAAGCGTGAAGAAGAACTCACACAAGCCCTTATGAAAATTGATGAAGAGGGTGCAGGCAAAGCTCAATCTCAAAAAGCCCTCAGGTATGTAGCACGGTTATTTGTTTTTAGTGTCTGGATGGTTTTTTTTCATTAAGGTTTAACAAATAATATCTTGTCCCATTGTTTTTCCGAAATTCAGGGAGCTCGAGTCCCAGCTAGCTGAACTCCAAGAGGATCTGGAGGTTGAAAAGGCAGCCCGCAGCAAAGCTGAGAAGCAGAAGCGCGATCTTAATGAAGAGCTGGAGGCTTTGAAGAACGAACTTTTGGATTCCTTAGACACAACCGCAGCACAGCAAGAATTAAGAAGCAAACGGGAGCAAGAACTAGCAACTCTGAAGAAGACCCTTGAGGAAGAAACTCAGTTACATGAAGTATCCATTGCTGATATGAGGCATAAACATAGCCAGGAAGTAACAAGCATTAATGAACAATTAGAAGTCTTAAAGAAGGTATGTAGTGTTGAGATCTAAAGTGTATTTTTTTCTTGTGTTTTGAGTTTCTTTTTTTAAATAATTAATCGGTACCTTACTTTTTTTTTTAAATTTTCAGACCAAAGCGCAGCTTGAAAAGGTCAAACAGTCACTAGAAGCTGAAAATGCTGACCTTGCCACCGAGCTGCGTTCTGTTGGTGCTAGTCGTCAGGAATCAGAAAGGCGTAGGAAACAAGCTGAGGGTCAACTTGCCGAAATGCAAGCAAAGGTTGCTGAAGTTGATAGAGCCAAAGCAGAGCTTGCTGAACGTGCTGCCAAACTTCAGGCTGAAGCAGACTCAATTAATGCACAACTGGAAGAGGCTGGTCTTAGGGCCAGTGCTGCTGTAAAGAGTGCCACCACAATGGAGACTCAGCTCCAAGAGGCCCAAGCCCTGTTGGAGGAAGAAACTCGCCAAAAACTAGCCCTTAGCTCTCGCCTTCGTCAAATTGAAAGCGAAAAAGAAGCACTCCATGAGCAGTTCGAAGAAGAGGAAGAAGCAAAGAAGAACTTAGAGAAGCAGGTTATTGCCCTAACACAACAGGCTTTAGACCTGAAGAAACGTGCCGATGAGGAAGCTGAACAAGTGTTGCAGCTTGAGGAGAGCAAGAAGAAAATCGCCAAGGTAATGAAGGATTTCAATCAATCTTTTACTTGCATTGCTTGTTTTACCTTGCATTTAAATTCCGTATTTTTTTTTCTAATTGCAGGATATTGAAGGTCTCCAGAGACAAGTTGAAGAGCTGCAGGCAGCCAATGATAAACTTGACAAGTCCAAGCGCAAGCTACAGGCTGAATTGGAGGATGCCAACATTGACTTGGAAACTCAACGTGCTAAAGTCCTAGAGCTTGAAAAGAAGCAGCGTAACTTTGATAAGGTTCTTGCTGAAGAGAAAGCGATATCTGAGCAGCATGCTGCCGAGAGGGATACTGCTGAGAGGGAAGCTCGGGAGAAGGAAACGAGAGTCCTTTCCTTGACTCGGGAGCTGGAGGACCAGATTGAAAAGATCGAGGAGCTTGAGAGAGTTAGGAGGCAGCTGCAGGCTGAACTAGATGAATTAGCCAATAACCAGGGAACAGCAGATAAAAATGTATGTTGTTTCAGGAGGTCAACCCATTAATCTGTTACGCACTTATCCATTGCAACTTACTGATGGTCTCTCTTTCTTTAGGTACATGAGCTGGAGAAAGCCAAGAGAGTATTGGAGAGCCAACTGGCTGAGCAAAAGGCCCAGAATGAAGAACTAGAAGATGAATTGCAAATGACTGAAGACGCTAAGCTGAGATTGGAAGTCAATATGCAGGCACTGCGTGCTCAGCTTGAGCGTGAGCTGCAGGCCAAGGAAGAGCAAGCTGAAGAAAAGCGTAGAGGTCTCATCAAGCAGCTTCGCGATCTCGAGGCAGAACTTGAGGACGAGCGAAAACAGCGTGCTGCTGCTTTGGCTTCCCGCAAGAAGCTGGAGGCAGACTACAAAGACATGGAGCAGCAACTTGAAATGCACAATAAGGTCAAGGAGGATGCTCTGAAGCAATTGAAGAAACTACAGGTAATTTTTTCTTTGACTAAAAGTAATCTGGTCATATTTTCTGTTTTGTGTTTTGTTTGGTATGAATTTCTCTCTATTTCTTCATAGGTGCAAGCCAAGGACAGCGCCCGCGATGCTGAGGAGGCCCGTGCTGCTCGGGATGAGCTTGCCACTGTCGCCAAGGAAGCTGAGAGGAAGTTGAAATCCCTTGAAGCGGAGATGCTGCAGATGACCGAGGACCTCGCAAGCACCGAGAGGGGGCGACGAGCTGCTGAAGCTGAGAGAGACGAACTTCAAGAGGAAATCAACAACAGTGCCAACAAGGGGTTAGTGCTGTTACTTGCAAAGGTATTGTATTTTTTACTTCAATAGGTATGTTATTGATGTCTTTTTCTTTCTCCTGCAGTACTTTGCTGGTGGATGAGAAGAGGCGGCTGGAGGCTCGCATTGCCACTCTAGAGGAAGAATTGGAGGAGGAACAGGGTAATTCAGAGATCCTCATGGATAGGGCACGAAAGGGACAGATCACAATTGAACAGCTCACAACAGGTAAACTTACATATCCTCATTACATTTTTGTGTCTGTTGGTTAAATGGCTCTAATCAATTTCTAATGTATTATTTTCTTTTTGGCAGATCTGGCGGCTGAGCGTTCAACTACACAAAAGTTGGAAAGCCATCGTATGTTGTTGGAACGCCAGAACAAGGAACTCAAGGCTAAGCTGACAGAAATGGAGACTAACCAGAGAACCAAAACAAAGGCCACCATTGCTACACTTGAGTCGAAAATTAACAATCTGGAAGAGCAGCTTGATAATGAAACTAAAGAACGGTTTGCTCAACAGAAAATGAACCGTAAACTTGACAAGAAACTGAAGGAGTTGGCCATGCAGCTTGAAGATGAACGAAGACATGCTGACCAATACAAGGAGCAAGTGGAGAAGGTGTGTATCAAACTGATAATAATATTGAAATTTTTTATTATTAATGTCATTATCTTATCACATTATTTATCTCAATTTCAGGTAAATACCAAGGTTAAAATGCTCAAGCGGCAGATTGAGGAAGCTGAAGAAGAAATTGCCCGAGAGAAGATTCAGAAGAGGAAAGCACAGCGGGAAATGGAAGACATGATGGAATCGCATGAGTCCATGTCACGAGAGGTTACCAATCTTAAAAATAAGCTACGGTAAGTGCTTTTTCAACAAATCTGAATTTTATTAATTAATTATTCCGTCTTTGCTCATTGTTTTAAGTTCCCTCTTATTTGTACTTACAGACGAGGTGGTACTGGCACCAGCATTAGTGGTCTGGTCGGTTCGAGACTTAGTGGAGCTAAACGAGGTTCTCTTCCAACTGGTGGGGCAGATGACTCAATGGCTCAGGATGAGTCTATTGATGGGGAAGAATCTGCCAATTAGATCAGCTATTCATTGTTTCTTATGAATCTTAATACCTCTTGAAGTAACTACTAAATGCTACTGTGAGAACATTTGGTTCAAGTTTGCTGCCATAAGTTGTTAATATTGGAGTGTTCCAAAACTTGGAACATTCTTGTAAACACTGCGCTGTGCTGCAGATGTAGTATTATATCTTTTTATACCACTTGGTTTCTTTTATATAAAACTGGAAAGTATAGTGACTGATGTGCTCTGGTGTGGATCGCCAGCCTTGTCTTCCTTGGTGCCTCATGTACGCTGTCATAATTATTGTGGTTCAATCCACAGCATATTTTTGTATGATTTCATTCATCAACATACTTGTTTCAGTTGTGCATTTGTAGATAGGTTAAGGTTTTAACCATGAATGAGAAGATAAGTCTTGCAATTAGCTAAATTGCCTTGTTTCTCTTATTATGGCACGTTCACATAATGACAGTTATGTGGATAGTCTTGTCACATACAATACCATGCATGATGTTTAAACACTGAACTTATCCAAAGGGATTCTTCTTAATGGTTTGTTACTTACAATGGCATTTTCTATGACTGACCATGCTGTAAGAGTCTTAATTACATTAACTTATTGAATCATGTTTAAAGTAATAAGAGATCTGAAGTTGGTGTGTGGAGTTACAGTACATTCCCCCGGTTTTGGGCTTCACTTTTTAAAATGTCATTCCAAAACAATCGAATGAAAGATAGTTTTGATGCTGAGTTAGCTTTTGTTAAACTAACACTATTAAATTATTTTAATGTATTGTGAATCAATTTTGCAATTCAGAATAACCATGATCTGGAGGACCAGTTATTGAAAGAGACTGCCATGTTTTTTTTTTTTTGTTTGTTTCTTTTTTAAAAAGTCAAATATAGTTAGCAAGGTGCTTATTTAGCATTGACATCTTAACTTGCAGCTAGTTTTGAAAATACCTTGTGAGACTTCTCATGTTGCCGTGTGCTGTGCCATTGGTTGCAGTGTGGAGGTTCAAGGTGGTGTACAAGTACACATTAGTATTTGCACATGTAATTTGGGACTGTCATTTTTCTGTCTGATTCTGCATCTTAAAGACTTAATCACATGTCTCTCAGTTCCTTTCCTGTTTCAAAGCTGGAAATTCAGCATTGTGTCCTACCCTTCGGGCTCAACTGATGCAATTTTAGGTATTTTTATCATGTGTTATTTTATGATCAGAAATACTTGAAACTAACCAATTTTGTGGTCTTGTCTGTGTTGTATTAAAATGTGTATAAATTGTTTTAGATATTTTCAAAATGTTTTAACTCTTTATGTGTATGTGGTGTAGTATTTGTCTACCAACATTTTTAAAAGTTAATATCTTGATATAGGCTGCAAATCAATGAATGAATGAGTGAATGTGAAATTGTTAAAAGTTGTGTATGTGAGAGTGATAGAGAATTGTAAATAATTAAATGATTTATAACCATAACCGGATAAAATTGATGTAATTACAAATGAAATGTCTTACAGGTATGGGTTATGAAGTCTGGCTTTCTAATAAATTCAATGTGAAGTCAGACTCTGTCCCTGATTTCATCTGAAAACCATTGTTTCTGAATAAACCTGACTTTATTATGAACAAGTGTTCTTTCTATTTTCCACCTTTGCCATGCACTCCAACATTTAAGACAAATGAGATTCATGAGTTACCAAGGATATGCTGATGATGTGAGTCATTGCCAAAAGAGACTGAGAAAGGAAATTGTTTGGTCACTCAAGTAAAACGGAGGCGTTTCGTAGTTCCCGCTCCAACTGAACCCAATTCCGTCCTGTACATACCTGTGAGGTTCTTATTGACACTGGAGCTATTCGCATAAAAATTGTCTGCTTATCCACAGGCAGGTCTCATTATTTGCACGCGTCCTACAGTCAATGCTGCACCATGGTGGTTAGTTTACACATGGCGCAAGATAAAAATGTCAATTTATCCCAAACAGACGACAAATATGTTGTGCAGAGGATCGGAGGAGGTAGCATTGTTGACCGTAGACCAGTATTTTCCCCTGACGGCACGTAAGTACCCGTAAAGTTTTGATTTAACCTCTCGGTAGGTCTGGTCTGAAGGGAGGTTATGACCATGTTAGGACTTTATGAAAGAGGACTTCATTTTGAAATTGCCCTTTATTTTTCATTTTTATCCTTGAATTTTATTTTATTTATGCTTTTTTATTCATGACTGAATTTTTTTCTATCTCTCTACCATTTTAATGATCTGAAAAAGAACTTCTCTCATTGTAAACACTGGTTCCTGATCGTTACAGAATTTTGTTTGTTGTCTATGGCCAAATCATTCGAGCCTACAGCACCCGCACCGGGCAGCTGGTTAGAGATTATAAGGGTCTGTCACAACCAGCGGTTGGTGTTCAACTCCACCCTACTAGACCAGAATTGGTGGTCGCAGTGTCAGAATCAGGGGAAATGATGGCATGGCGGGAGGATTCGGGTATCCACATGTTGACAGTGGTGAGTTTTTAATTTTACCTTATCCTTCTTTAAATTTTTAAAATTATTTTTGAAGCAGGCATCATAAAGTTTCAACCCTCCCGAACAGAAATTATCGGTGGCTGCTCAATGTGATCATTTATTCAGCTTCAATCTGCTTCCATCAGAGGATGGTGATTGTGATATATTTGTAACATGGCAGAAGAAAAATTCTAGACAAGCTAACTTATCTGTTTTTTCATCCAAGGGGAAACACAAAACTGATTTCAATTTTAGGTGAGACTCTAAAAATAATGAGATAACATGCGTGTTTCAATTGGAGTACCTATGAATGTAAAGTGTAATTTTGTATTTGTCTGTGTTTTGTTTGTGTTTTAATCTTTATCCTTTGTTTTTTGGTTCTTCTTTAACTTTTAGTATAGATATTGGCACTCATAGTGTTGCTTTTGCATTTGGCTGCCACTCTAATGGAAAATATGTAGCCGCCATTTGTAAAGATAGATTGTACTCCACTGATTTGGCCAGAAATAAAGGTAACTGGTAAGTAGCATTAAAATATATGTATTGAAGTAGCTTATATGTCTCGTTAAATTATCTTTGGCATCTTTAATGTTTTCTCTTTCTTGATTCTTTAGGTTCCGAGTTTCAAAAGGAACAGTTCTTACTTGTGTTGCCTGCCATCCAACTGAGTGTTGTGTGGCCACAGGGGATGCTAGAGGACGGGTATTGATATGGAGAGATATCATTGATAACCCAGCACCCCCTCAGGCTGTTTACCACTGGCACACATTACCTGTAGCTGATGTTGTTTTTTCTCAATCAGGTATTTATATTTTACTCTAATGAAGCCCTGTGGTCTTAAATTTTAACCTTCCCTTTGAAAACAAATGAATGTTTATCTTGTTCAGGCTCATTTTTCTTTAGTGGAGGGGGAGAGTGCGTTTTGGTAAAATGGCGTTTAGATAATCCTCATGACAAAAGTTTTCTGCCTCGCCTATCTGCACCTATTTGCCACCTGAATACATCCAAGGACAATCTCATTGTTTCTGCATCAACTCAAGATAATGGTAAGAGTCTTACAACATGTTCTGTGTTCTGTATGTACAAGAAAAATGTAAATTGATTTATTTCCTCTTTGTCTCTTAGCCATACAACTAATTGATCCTCAGCGTCAAATTTTCAAAAGAATACAGTATTTTTCGTGGGGAGTTCAATCTGCTGGGCATGACCTCCCATTATTCCCTGCAGGACTCAATTTTGACAGAAGAACTCATTCCTTGGTTCTGAATAGTCGCACAGGACATATTCAGTTTTATAGTCCACGCACTCACAGCATTTTGTATAATGTATGTATATCCTCTTTGTCACTTTTGTCCGTTTAGTGGTTGTTCTTAACATTACAACTATAAACCTTTGTTCTCCCCTCAACCATTCAAAAATATTTAGTTGGATATAACTGTTCAAAACTACATTACTCAAGAAAGAAATGTAGAAATAATTAATACTGAAGTTATATGTGTTGCTTTGAGCAATTGTGGAAAATGGTTATCAACAGTAGAGTACATTGACAATGGAGAAATGACTGTGCAGGTTTCTTTGAAGTTCTATACCTTTAATCACACCACTCAGAGGTAAGTCTTGATTTTTTTTATTGCATTAAAAAAAATCTTTACACGGCATTCTGATAAATCCATCTTACATTTTATTTTTTGGACAGGCATTCACTAAATACTTCCATTAACCTACCTCATGATGGTCGAGTGTATGCACTTCGATTCCGCCCTGCTGAAAATGATGATATGCTAATGGCTGTAACCACAGGTGCAGATAAGAAATTTCGCATTTGGGGATTGGCATCAGGTACCAAATGTTTTCCTTTTGATGTTCCACCAGGACCAATGCTTTAGGATTCCATTGTATTAATACAAATATTATTTCAGGGAAACACTGGCATTGTATAAGTATGGGTCACTATCGTGATCTATCTGTTCGAGATGCAGCCTTTTCAAGTGATGGCTCAGTACTTGGAATTTCTTTTGATTCCACTCTCACTTTATGGAACCCTGATAGCTGTGATTTTCAGTGTAGTCTTTCTCCAGCAACTCCCAAGGGCCCTCCCATTATGTAATGAGCTCAGTCATCTTGTTTCATTTGAATTGCTGCGTATCACCCATTTCATCCATCACTTCTTTCCTGGTTTCAGGTCCATCCAGTTTGGCAGCAGAGATTGCTGTCATTTAGTTGTTGCTGGTTCCTCAGAAGGGTTGACTGTATGGAGCATTCTTACCCTTTCAATCGTGTGGACTGTTCCTCTTGAGCTGACAATTTTATGTAAAGACCCCTTTTCCAAATATATGGCGGCATTTACTAAAGACAATACATGTGAGATTTCACCTTTTTTTCATTGACTTTAAAAAAATTAATTTTATTCTCAAAATTTTAAAAAAATTTCATTTTTTTTTTCTTTTAGTATATGTGTTTTCTCCAAAGGAGTCAAAACCAGTGTTTAGGCATCAAGATATTTGTCCCAGTGGTACTAGAATTTTATGTGCAACGTTTGCACCTAGAATGAATCCAAAATCTGATGGTTCTTGGCAAGCTTCAAGCCAACTTTATTTTATTGACTCAAATCAGGTATGTACTGCTGTGCACTGCTGTGCTTTTTATATCATCTTATCTTATGTTTTGGAAAGTTATGAAGAGAAGGGATCAGTTTCAAATGCATTGTTTTTCTTCCAGGAGCTTCTTGCCCTTCAGAATGCCAAAGAAATAACTGATGTGACTGAGTCTGGTTTAGAAGGCCTTCCAGAGTGGGCTCCTGCTCTGACTCCTTTCAGTTCTCTTGTGGCAAAGCAGACTTCCTCCTCAGCGATAGCTCAAGCCGGAACCCAGCACAATCAATTAGGATTAGCTGGGAGAAAGGAACTGGAAGAAGTGAGTACTCCTCATCATTTTTTCATATTTATTCTTAAACAAGTCATATGAACTAACATACTGTGAAAAATACTACAAATATAAAAATATTTACACCCTCCTAATTGCAACATAAAAGAAAACATAATTTAGAGGAGGAATTGTTCGCAAGATATTTTTCTGCATCTCACATTTGGGCTTGTAATAAGGGATTTTTTTTTCTTTTCTTACATTTTGCACGATAACTCCTCATAAATGCAGCAACAATTTCTAATGAGATCGATCTTTCTTCTGCTTTTATTAGTGGTATGGCTTCTCACTGACACATTCTTTGGCATAAAAAAAAAGAACGACATACCCTACTTAATTAATGAAAGGCCCTCATACGGCCTACATACAACAACAAATAAGTAATTCATAGTGATGATTTTTGTATTGACTTTCTTTGGTCAATGCTTCCGATCAATTCGAAAATGGCGACACCTTTTGTGCTGGGTGACAAGATCAAACTTACGATAGCGTAAGCAATGCCACTGTGGTATCTGCTTCATGTTCTCTAGAACCTGAAACAGAAGATGGCATTATTTTCTATTTTGACTCACTGCATGTTGCTCAAAAGCTGAACTCAAGATATTTTTTTTTCCAGCTCTTGTAGGCTACAGTGAAACTTTACTTGGCTACTACAGTATGTTTTCCCTGTGCTTGGGGCATTTACTCACCTGGTCGGGGCTGGCCATGGCCATAGGTTTGGCTCGTGCGGGAGTGGTGTGCGCCACTAGAAGCGCCAGCACCAGCACTGCCAGGAGGGAGGCGGGCAGCAGCAGCGGCGCGGATGTCCTGGACGAGGCTCTGGACGGGGTCCTAGGCGAGGTCCTGGACGTCCTCAGTGGGCCGGGACCCGGACCCGCGCCCATCGCGCCATGGGCCGCGGCGCGGGCGAGCTCCTCGGTGGCAGCCAGGGCCTTGGGGGTCTTGGGGACCGGCAGGATGGCGGTGGCGCGGGGTAGTGCCGTGCCGGGGGCTCGACGGCGAAGCCGGTGTCTGGTGTCGGAGTCAGAAGCGCGCCTCTCCTCGCGAACGCCGCGAAACTGGACTGAATGCGGGCAGGACGCAGAGGGCTGCGGCCGGAAGGAGGCAGACTCGCGGACTAACGTGCAAGCTAAAGCCAAGGCGGAGCGCGGAGCGGCCACGGCGTCGAGCCCGCTATCCTGCCCTGCCCGCCCACCCCGCCGGCCCCTCCCCTCCCCTTCTTCCGAAGTCGGTGCCGGTGCCTCGCCCCGCCGCTCGCCCCTATGCTATGCAGCTAGCCGGCGATATTGCAGTGACCCTGGCGGGTCCTGGCGGGTCCTGGCGGTACTGGGGGAGGGCTTGTAGGGCGGTGGGGCGGGGGTCGTACCCCTGGGACGGGCACGCGGGGTTCGGCCTGATCCGCCCCTCCGTTGCGCACGCAAGGCACGCGCACCACTGCGGAGGAGACAGTCCCGCTTTCCGTGCGCGCGAGAGAGACGCAGCACTGCAGGTGCGGCGGCGTTGCCCCGCCCCCGCCCGCATAGCACTGCACTCCGATGCGCCACGCCGCGCTTGACCGCGCCGCCGCGTCGCGATGAGACGCCAAAGTGACACGGGAGGTCGCTGCGGGCTGGCCTGGCTGGCCTGGCCGGCCTGGCTGGCCTAGAGGCTGGCCCGGCTCTTTTCTAGCAGGCCAGACTAGAGCAGAGGACGGGGACGAGGTCACGACGCGTCACGTAGGCACAATCGGGTCGCAGGACCTGCAGGACCCGCTGCCCTGGCAGATTCCGTCGATGGCGGGGATCGATCCCGCGCACCGCGTCGTCCTCGTGGACGTCGGGCTGGGCCGGGCGGCAGAGCCTCGCCGCGCAACGCGGTACCGGCCGGCTGGAGCGCCGGTCCGGGTAGACCCGCCTGTAGCGCACGCGTGCCCTAGGGTTGCCTACCTGCCCGGCGCCCCGCCCGGACAGCACGCCCTCTGGAAGGCTCTGGGTGGAGCGCGTCGCGGCGCGGCCCAGGCCGGCCCAACGCGGCGCTGTTGAGTCGGACTGTACGACTGCTCAGTTCAAGCACCCCGCCATGGCGGAGCCACGGCGCAGGGATGGCCCTTGGAGGCGTGGCGCGGCGCGGCCGCAAGTCATCCGTCCTCATCACGGTGCCCGAGTCACGCCTGCAGGCTGATGCCGAGCAGGGGTTTCGCCGCTCCGTCTCTCTCGCGCCCTTGTGGGCCGTCCCGCGAGTGTGAGAGAGAGAGACAGAGCGACGAAAGCGCTTGTCGCGCCCCTCGCACAGTGGGCCAGAAGGCCGGTGGAGGCGGCCAAAACTCTGGACGCGTTTTGAGCTCGAAAGTCGCTGAATAGGACTCGGACCGAACGTGTGACCCCACCAATGGATTCCTCGTTCGGAGAGCAATCCATTGGTGGGGTCACACGTTCGGTTCGAGTCCTATTTAGCGACTCTGGAGCTCAAAACGCGTCTGGAGTTTTGGCCGCCTCCACCGGTCTTCTGGCCCACTGTGCCTCGCCCGGTCGCTGCCATGTGCCCCACATGCAGCCGGGCCACGTTTGGCGGCTCCTGCTCCTGTCGAGCGATTGCGCTGTCTTTGTCGCACTCATGCAGTGTGCCGAAGGGGTGCAGGCAGAGCGAGGAGTGCGGGCGGCGGATTCCCTCGACAAACTTTCAGCAGATTGATTCCGAGAGTCATCGTCCTGTCTCACTCGCACCTATAGGGGACGCCTCCTATGAGTGCAAGAGAGACAGACCGACGAAAACGACTCTCGGAATCAGTCTGCAGACACGAGGCACTCCGGGCTGGCGTGGCTGGCGCACAGTGGGCCAGAAGGCCGGTGGAGGCGGCCAAAACTCTAGACGCGTTTTGAGCTCGAGAGTCGCTAAACAGAACTTGCGCCGAACGTGTGGCCCTACCAATGGATTCCTCGTTCGGAGAGCAATCCATTGGTGGGGTCACACGTTCGGTTTGAGTACCTTTTGACGACTATGGAGCTCAAAACGCGTCTAGAATTTTGGCCGCCTCTACCGGTCTTCTGGCCCACTGTGTGGCGCCCCAGGCGCAGGCTCCCGCACCAGCTCGAGCCAGAGCCCGCTCGTCGCGTCGGGGACGTTGGCGGCGTCGGCGTGCTTTCGGCGTGATTCGGGGAAGACGAGACACGACGCCGCGTCGGCCGCCTCCGCCGCGTCCGTCCGCGTACACCCGCGGGGCACGTGCTCCCGTACTCCGCTACGCTGTCTGGCTGGCGGCGCGGCGGCGCGCTGGCGGGCCGAGATGGCTCACGGCTTGATGGACCTAAACGGAGTTTACGCGGCGCTTCAGACTGATTCCGAGAGTCGTTTTCGTCGCGCTGTCCCTCTCGCACTCATGGGGCCCTTATGGGTGCGATGGAGACAGCACGACGAAAACGGCTCCCGGAACCAGTCGGCCGCCTGCGGCCGGGGCGGAGTCACTTTGCCGGGAATCGAACCCCGGCCCGGCCGGGCCCCAGGAAGTGGAAGGTGTGGGGGTGTTTGCGGCTGGTTACTCATTGTCAACACGTTGAGTCACACTATGATGATTGACGGCGCGGTCGGCCGGGGGCGGGGCGGGGGCGTCGCCGCAGTGACCGGCGTTGACCGGCTCTCATCAGGCACTTCGCTGCATCCGCTTCATCGCGCAACGCAACGCGACACGCCGAGCCGGCCAGCCCCGCGGCGCGCGCGCCTGAGGCGTTCGTTGTTGACTCTGGCAGGAGCTGGCCGCCGCCAACATCCCCGACGTGTCCCCGACGCCGACCCTACCCAATGCGCGCAACTTCAATCCGACTCGACTCGAACCAGTGTTGCCACAAGTCCACGCGCCAACGTTGAAAGGGTTGACAGCCTCAGCGTGCCTCCTGTAGTCGGAAATTTTTGATGCGATTGCCCTGATATCGCCCGGGCTGTGGTCAGCAACCCTATCAACAAGGGTGCGTCCTGAAAGAATTTGCCTGCACCTGTGGCAACACTGACTTGAACCTCGAAGCGGCCTGGACCAGCGACGAGCTTTGCTGCGACGCGTGCTAGGGTGGGCGCACAGTGGACTCCCTGGTTGTCGTTCGATGTGGCCGAGTGATAGCGCATGCCGTCCTTGTCGGGGTGCTTCGCCTGCAAGGTCCGCACGCCACCGATCGCCTGTCCCCCGGGGGTGCGCGCCACCGCCATGTAGATCGTTATCGTCGCGAATGGCCGTCGAAACTCGAGTGGCGTGGCGGCGCTCCGCTTGGAGCTCCGCTTGGAGCACGTCGGCAATTTGGTGAATCCACGCCACCGTGCCATCACGCCACGTGATATGGCCGTCCGTGACAGTTGCCATGGCGGCGACGCTAACGTGGAGGGTTTATTGATTTGGACGTGCGTGGCCGCCGACGGCTTGCTGAAGGCCTCGGCCAGGGTGCCCGCTTGGCCCGGGTCAGGAACGGAGAAGAAAAATCAAAATTGGACCTGCTCGGTTTGACCGGCGCTCGAACCCGGGTCAGCCGAGAGCGCCGGGCAACAGCAGGGGCTGGCCTGCAAGTCGGGGACCTTGAGTGTGTGTCCCGTCGTCGTTGGTGGCTTGGCTCGCGTCGCGTCGCGTGGTTTGGCTTTAACAAGTGGGTCGCACAACGTCGTCGCGCCGCCTGGCGTGGCGCGGCCGCGGCGTCGCGTCTCCTGGCCGAGCAGAGACGGAGCCTGGATCGGTGGCCACCGGGACCGCCGCTGTCTGCCTGTCTGTCCGTCTGCCTATCTGTCTGTGTGTCTGCCCGCGTGTCTGCCCGCGTGTCTGCCCGCGTGTCTGCCCGCGTGTCTGCCCGCGTGTCTGCCCGCGTGTCTGCCCGCGTGTCTGCCCGCGTGTCTGCCCGCGTGTCTGCCCGCGTGTCTGCCCGCGTGTCTGCCCGCGTGTCTGCCCGCGTGTCTGCCCGCGTGTCTGCCCGCGTGTCTGCCCGCGTGTCTGCCCGCGTGTCTGCCCGCGTGTCTGCCCGCGTGTCTGCCCGCGTGTCTGCCCGCGTGTCTGCCCGCGTGTCTGCCTGCCCCGCTGTCCGCCCTCATCGCCACAATCACGTTGCATCTCTATCCAGGTCATTTTGATCAAGGTGCAGGTGCGCTTGGGCGACGCAGCGCTGCGCCGCGACCGCCAAATACTGGTCCAAGTCGGCGGCAATTGTGAGCTCTGGCGCGCGACGGAAAGTGACAGCCGAAACCAGTTCGAGCCGACGTGATTGGATGGGGCTGCTAATGAGTTAAGAAGCCACCAGTGTGTGTAACCCTTTTTATTTTTCCATTGCAGTTGCTGGCCGCGCCCGCGCACACCATGCCGCCCCAGCATCTGCTCTGCGGCGGCATCCTGGGGTCCCTCCTCGTCAGGACGACGAGGTGAGCATCGCGCGCCAAGCCCGCGCCTCGTCGTGGTGTTGAACCCGCGACTATTTCCCTCTGGACTATTTCTGCGACGCGCCGTCATGATGTTTATTTGTTCCAGCGCGGACGGCGACGCCGAGCAGGACGACGATCGCGAGCCCGCCGCCGCTGCGGACTCGGACTCGAGCGACGACGAGGATGACAAGGCCGTCTCGGTGGAGAAGAAGGAGGAGCCAGCGGTGGCCGCGATGGCTGCCATGACGGTCGCCCAGGTGGAGGACGCGGAGGCCGTCCTGAAGAAGGTGCTGTCGGAGCGCCTGGACTGGGCTGAGAGTCTGCTGCTGTAGCGGTCGCCGCGCGGACGAGGCCGAGGCCGTGGACTGGAAGGTGGGTCAGGTGGTCGCGCAGCCACACTAGAAGCGCGAGTAGTAGCTGGGGTCCTGTGGGGGCAGCGGGCCGTGCACCAGGTTGTTGGCGTAGTGGCCCGTGCTGCCGGTGCGGCTGGGGCGCAACGCGGCGCCGCTCGTGGGCCCCACCATGACCGGCACCAGCGCCGACGCCTTGTCCAGCTTGTCGCTCTTCTTCTCCTTGCTGTCCTCCTCCTCCTCGGCGTCGTCCGGGCGGCACAGGCGCAGCGAGAAGTAGTAGAAGAGCTCGACGAAGCTGAGCAGGCTGGCGCCCACGAACAGGCCGGCCGCACCGCCCATGGACACTGTCGGGGGTCCCAAGTTCGAGCGGTCAATCGACTGGCTTTTTTCAGCCTGACAGGCGGATTCCAAGAGGCGTTTTCGTCGCTCTGTCTCTCTCGCACTCATGCGTCGTTGCCCATGGGTGAGAGAGACAGAGCGACGAAAACGACTCTCGGAATCAGTCTGCAGTCTGCAGCCGTAGGGATTGTTCGGGAAGCTTACTCACCAACCATGTCGAGGCGCCCTCTCACCACGTTCCTCTTGTAGCGCTCGCTGGGCAGGCGATCCAGCATGAGCTCAATGCGCGAGGTGTTGTGCGCGATGCTGCCGAACAAACGAAGGGATTAACACGTCCACCTTTTTCGTGTTTCAGGTTGAGCGCGGTCGGAACATTCGGGCCCTTACATCGACGTTCGACATGAAGGAAAAGAAAATCACTGATGACTCGGAAATTATGTTGTTGAGACAAATTTATGAACTTTTGTTAAAATTTTTACAATAAATTGTATCAATGAATCAATGGTGTCTTTTTCCTCACCCGAATGACTCCTGTGTCACGATGTTGTACTCTGGCTCCGTGCAGGCGGGCACGCACGGGCAAGATAGACCCTCCTTTCTGCTCCAGCTGGTCTTCAGGACCGAGAAGCTCGTGTAGTGCTGGTACAGGCACATCAGCCCCTCGAGGGAGCAGATTTCTGATTCCTCTGCAAGCGCAGTCAAGACGCTACATAGTTCCAATCAAAAGAAGGCGTGGATTGGGGTGGGAGGAGGGACTCAGCAAACCTCAACAAATGCAGGCAGTGTCCCCTTTGCGGCAGTCACCCTCTACTTGGGGAGAAGAGGGGGGGGGAGTGAAAAGTAAACCGAAAACACGATTTACAAGCGGACACAACATACAGTATTGTGGAGACGCGGGTGAAGGGGAGCGTCCCACATACTACTTTGGAAAGATAATGGACTGGACAAGGGTCACACCCCTACACAAATGAGGCAGTATCCGCCTTTGCGCAGCACCCTTACTTGGGAGAAGAGTGAAAAGTCCGAAACCGATTTACAGCGGCACCATTTGTGCCAGCCGGGGTGACTAAGGATGCAGTACCGCCCTACTCCCATGGCAAGATAATGGATGGACAAGGTGTCATATCCTGAGGCACAATGGTGCGACCAGATTACTGGAAAACACTGAGATCCAACGCTTGATTAGCGTAAATTGGTGCAATGCAAAAGCATTGCACATAAGTGCAATGTCCCATTCCCATGCATTAGCATAGGGCATTTTCGGCGACATTGCACGTAAGGTGCAATATGGCTGAGGCATTGCACGTATGGTGCGATATCTCGACGCATTGCACCATACGTGCAATACTCATGGCGTTTGGAATTTCAGTGAGGCCACACCCCCACTTACTCTAGTTCACCCTAACCGACTGAGATATAACGCGACGGACGGACTACAGGGGCAGTTGGAGACCGGGACGGAACCAGGCGCCACGCTGCACGGGACGAGACGCTACGGAGACCGCGGAGAGACCGACGGAGATACGAGAGACTGTGAGTGGATTTCGGAGGCCGAAAGAAATTTAGAATATAGAGAGTGTATACCATTCAAAGTGTTGTGTTGTTATTCTCCCTGTGCCATTTCGTTCACGCTCGACTGTGTCCAGAGTCTGTCCGGTACTGTTGAACAAGGAAGACAGTTTTAGAAACGAGGACGTTTGCTTCGGAAGGAGGGGGAGCAGGCTTTAGAGTTAGGAATTTAGTTTTAGAAGCTAGGGTAGGAGTAAGGTTGGAGCAAGTTTAAGGTTTAGATGTAATGAATTAATAATAAACCTAGGACCACCAAGTACGGTAGTGAAAAGTAAAAAGCGGTATGACACTCAGCTCAGCACCGCTGCCACCAGTTTGTGGTGTGGGTGTTTTGCTAGTGTTTTACTTTCGCCAGTGTGGCGCGCTGCTCAAGCTCATTATCACCCTTCGCCGGCCCGCGAGTGTCCGTCCGGGACAAGCCTTTTCGGCTGCGTTTAAGCAGCAACGTCCGGGACTTGCCGTTTCGGTCCGTCCGGGACAAGCCTTTTCGGCTGCGTTTAAGCAGCAACGTCCGGGACTTGCCGTTTCGGATTTTACACTACACTGACAGTCACAGGGGAGCGGGAGCAGCCGGCCCATGGCTGTACTTATTGTTCTGATAGGCTATGGGTTAATCCTCTGAGTGCTACGAGTCGAGCGTGAACGAAATGGCACAGGGAGAATAACAACACAACACTTTGAATGGTATACACTCTCCATACTCTAAATTTCTTTCGGCCTCCGAAATCCACTCACAGTCTCTCGTATCTCCGTCGGTCTCTCCGCGGTCTCCGTAGCGTCTCGTCCCGTGCCGCGTGGCGTCTGGTTCCGTCCCGGTCTCCAACTGCCCCTCCGCTAGTCCGTCCGTCGCGTTATATCTCAGTCGGATAGGGTGGACCAGAGTAAGTGGGGGTGTGGCCTTTGTCCAGTAGTTTTCCGGTCGGAAGTTGTGTCGTAGGGGTGTGACCCTTGTCCAGTCCAGTATCTTTCCAAAGTAGTATGCGGGATGCTCCCCTTCACGCGCGTCTCCACAAGTATTATTCGGACACTCACTGGCGTTGGGCATGAGGTGCGAGGTGCAGTTGCACTGCGCGAGCTGGGCCTTCTTGCGGCACTCGGTGATGCAGGCCGAGTACGAGTAGTAGCGGTACACGGACAGGTCGTTCTCGTCGTCGAACTGGCACTTGCGCTGCATGGTGGACGTGTCCCGGACGCCGGGCTCGTTCTCGATCTCGCGCACCGCGATGCCGAAGCGCTTGTGGATCAGCGGCGCCGCCACGAACACCTCCGAGCTGAGCGAGTTGAGGAACGGCACGTCCTCGGCGGAGTGGATGTGCACCTGGAAGGGGAAATGGGCGTTCGGCACGGGGATTCGAACCGGCGACCTGGCTCTCGCGAGATACACGCTCAGAACTCACGTTGCTCTGCACACGCAGCTCCAAGTACACGGACGCCTTGGGTTCTTTGCGGTTCGCCAAGATGGGCATCATGTCCTTCTTGCCGTTCACCCTGAAAGTGCAAGCCGGCATTAGGGTTCAACATGAGCGAGTACGCTGCCCTCGATTGGTCACGATAGTTCTCAAAACCAGTCACCGTGGGAGTCAGCCCCATCGAAGGGTCGCAGAAAAATATTTTGGGGTCGCGGCTTGGCGCCTGTGGAGCTCTATACACTGTAAGAAGGTTGGCGGGGTGGCACTGTCCGCTGCCACCTGCCGCCCCAGTGCGCCTGAGTGCGCCCCGAGTGCAGCGCCTTCCCGAAACAACAGTGGGGCTTCGAGAGGCGGCCTTCCTTTCGATTGGCTGTGTTGACAGTGCGAGGGGCGGCCCTAACCTCACCGGGACGGGCCGGGGAGCATGTCGGGCGCTGCCCAGGTCCTGGACGACGAGTTCGTCTTCCTCGCGTCCCTCGTGAACCCCGTGTACGCCGCGCTCCCCGAGCACCGCGACGTGGTGCGGCTGTGGCTGGAGCGCCTGTTCCTGACGCCCACACTGGTGGACAGCGCCCGCCGGGACAGGAACGAGTACCTCAGCCGGCTGTACCACGGCATGATGTCGGGCCGCCTGGACGCCGTGTTCCTGGACGAGCCCCCCGAGGGCGCGCTGCGGCCCCCGGAGGACGTGTTCCCGGCGCTCAGCGCCACGGCCTGGCTGGACGACGTGGCGGCCGGCGGGACGGCGCAGCCCGCCAAGCCGCAGGGCTGCGGCGACGCCGACGACCGCACGTACCTCGCCACCCAGGTGCTGCCCGAGGGCAGGGGCGCCTTCGGGTACCTCGCCGTGTCGCTGGCCCCCACGGGGCCGCACTGGGACGGCGGGGCCCAGGGCCGGCCGCAGGCCACACCGGGGTGGGGCCCCAAGGAGCCGCAGGCCTCGTCCACGCCACTGGTGGCCAGCCCCGCCAGCGTTGCGGGACACGGACGGGGACGTGAACGGGAGGTGAGGACGTGTCTCCGTCTCATAAACTGCCCGGATACTGGCCAGATGCTTTCGTCGCTTTGTCTCCCTCGCATTCACAGGGCTGCCCGTAGGGGCGCGAGGGAGACAGAGCGATAAAGCACTGTTCGTAATCAGCCTGCAGGACTCGGTGGGGTGCTGGAGGGCAGAGCCCCCGCCGAGCAGCGGCAGCAGCTGCTGGAGTTCTACGACTCGCTGATCAGCGACCTGGACCGAGCATTGAGCGAGCCCGCGAGGCCCAACCCCGCGCTGGAGAGGCTCATCGCCTCCTTGAAGGCAAGGGCACTGGAAGGTGGTGCGGAGGGTCCGGGCCGGGGTGCGTTTCCTGCACTGTCAGCCTGTCGGTCCACAGGACTCGTCGGCCATGTCGCTGGGGCCGGACTCGGACGCGAGTGGCGCGTCGCCGCAGCAGGCCGAGCTCCTCGCCAAGCTGCGCGAGCGGCTGGTCGGCCGGCGCTCGCGAGCGGAGCGGCGGTCGCTGGCCCTGGACGAGCTGGAGCTGGAGGCGTCCCAGTCCCAGGTCGAGGCCTCCGTGTCCGTGGAGACGCCGCGCCGCGCCGCACGGAGGGACGAGGACGACGTGTGGAACATCAAGCCCGAGAACGTGGCGCTGCTTTCGGGGGCCTACCCGCGCGAGCTGGTGCAGCGCTTCCTCGACGGCGTGGTCCGCGAGCGCGTGGCCGTGCTCGGCAGGGTGCGCGCCCGCCGCTACTTCCACCAGCACGTCGAGGTGAAGCGTGAAAACGGACGCGCGGCGCGGAGTCGAACCCTCGATGACGCGAATTCCCACCGCTAACCGCGTGGCGAACCGACCAGGGCCTGGAGGACAGCGCCGCCGAGGACATGGAGCACTACCGCGACGGCATGGAGGCGTGGGCCGGCGTGATGCAGAGGTACGAGAGCGCGCCGAGCGTGCGTCGCAGCGCCGACGACGCAGCGCGCCAGGCAGAGCGGTGCGCCGAGCTCGCCGACAAGACCACGACCATGATGAGGGAGCTGGGCACCGCCAGGCAAGAGTACTTCGACCAGGAGGAACAGCAGAAGGGCGTGCAGGTGAGGGCCGCTTGTCTAGGGTTCGCCAACGTGCAGGCCTTCGTCTGCCTCCGCCTGTCGTCACCCTGGTCCTGGTCTTCCCCGGCCGCAGGAGCGGCTCCGCGCCGACATCGAGTTGCTGCGCGCCGAGGAGGCCGTGCTCAAGCGCCGCCTGCACCAGATGCTGAGCAGGGCCAACAAGTGACCGGCCGCGGCCTCGGCCCCTCGGATTGGCCCCTCGGATTGGCCGCTCGGATTGGCCGCTCCGAACGGCGCGGCGCTTTGACAGGGGAGACCCGAACTCCCGCCACGATGCGACGACGGCGGCCTCGGCGACGTGGACCCGACGCGCGAAAGCAAATGAAATAAACGCATACGGTTTCGGAGAGGCCGCCGCCGCCGCCGCCTACCTCAGGCCTTGCTCCGAGTTTAGCGCGAAGCACGTCCCGATCTCGGTGTCGAGCGGCAGGAAGTGGTCGCAGCAGTTGAAGGCCACGTTGTTGACCCTGCACTCGGAGAAGATCTCGGGGCAGCCGCTGCGGATCTGTGTGGACAGTGTGGGGGACGGCGTCGTTAGGAGCATTGCGCGGGGTCGTGGTGTGACGGCGCGCGGTGCGGCGTGCAGGCCGTGCAGTGTACCAGGATGGATGCGTACCGTCTTCGCCAGTTTCGTGAAGTTGGACTTGGGGCACTTGACGTGGCCGTCGAAGCAGAACTCCTTGATGTAGTACGCCGAGCCCCGGAAGTACGATATCTCCTTCAGAACTTCATCCAGGTTAAAGTCATGGTCCTCGCCGTACAGCCTGTGTCGCAATAACACCAAAGACACGCCAAAGTTCTTGCATGAAATTCATCGCAACATTACGAAACACAATGCATAGACTTTGACTGACTTGGCGCTCATGAAGTACACGCGCTCCATGTTGTCCTCCTCGCACACCGAGATGGCCGGGAAGGTGGTGTCCCAGTCCAGGTAGGTGCTCTCCACCACGAAGCTGATGGCGTTGTTCTGGAAGGCGTCCCACGAGGCCAACATGAGCCAGCCGGAGGACACCCACGACACCAGGCAGCAGGCCAGCCAGAACACTCTGCCAACGGGGCGAGGCGAGCAAACATTACACTTTTGCAATCGACATTATTTCTCTCGCTTAAACGGCTAGAGGAAGAAAAGTTGGGTGCGTGACCCCATTTAAAGTTCAATTTAAGAGGGGTTTATCCCAACCCGGAATCGGACCGCTGAGATCGCTGAGATAGTCACCGTTCGGTCCAGTGGCGCTCCTTCTGCGCGACGAATCGCAGCCCGTGAAGGGATGTGTTGTTGAGGAAGTCCCTGACGGCGCCGAACACTCCCATTTTGGCGAGGCGAGGCGAGACTTGCGGCGGCCGAAACGGAGTTCACATGGCGGGGTGCGGGGGCCTGCACACACGTGAGTCACTGTACGAACGCTGATTCTGTCTCTCTCGCACCCAGGGGGCGACCCTTACAATGCGAGAGAGACAGCGACGAAAACCTCTGCTGGGCCGCGGTGCCCAGTGGGCCAGAAGACCGGTGAAGGCGGTCAAAACTCCAGACGCGTTTAGAGCTCCAGAGTCGCTAAACAGGACTCGAACCGAACGTGTGACCCCACCAATGGATTGCTCTCCGAACGAGGAATCCATTGGTGGGGTCACACACTCGGTTTGAGTCCCATTTAGTGACTCTGGAGACCAAAACGCGTCTAGAATTTTGGCCGCCGCCACCGATCTTCTGGCCCACTGTGCGGTGGCCGCGGCGAGCGCCTGCAGTCAGCCCGGTAGGCAAGTCGGCCGCGCGTCTGTCGAATGGGTTGCCTGCCTTCCAGGCGGCCGGCCGCGGCGCGTAGAGTCCTGGAGCGAAGCAAGAAGCGCGACGGAAAGCCCTGGACGCTGCTCACGAACCGAGAGTCTCGGCACCCGCCGACTACACGGCAAAGAGGGTGCCTCTAGGATCAGACTTGACGTTCTTCCTGTCCGTGCAGGAATCGGCTCAAATACCGAAATTGTTGGAGTCGGCGTGCTTTGCTTTGGCTGTGATCGAACAGTGGATGCGGTTCTGGGCCTTTCCCCGGTTTTCCCCGTCCGATACGAACCCTAGAGCGTCCAGCAGGCCTGCACGTCCGGCGCTCGGCGGCAAGGGGCGTCCAATGTCCAACGTCGAGTGTCGGTGACGGCCTCGACGGCGTGCAGCCAGCCCAGCCCAGCCAATGGACACGCGCTCAATTATTCAGCCATCCAGCACCAGCACTGGCAGGGGCAGGGGCAGGGGGGACGGGGGCAGCCAGAGATGGCATCGAGACAGCGCCGCAGCGCCACGGGATGCCCGTCGTCAATTTTTAATGCGAATCTGATAGAAAGAACGACCGCCAGCCCTGCGCTGCCTTTCGCCGATTTTCCCGGTGACGGGGGGGGAGGGGGAGGGGAGGACGGCGTGGCGTGGGCCGGGAGTAGCGTCACGTCGCGGCACTACGCCCGTCGCCAGGCCGCTTTTCCAGCGCGGGGTAGGGTCGCGGCCGGCCGGCCTGCTGGAAAGGCGTCGTCGGGAAAGGCGCGGAGCACTGACGGTGCACCGACGATGACGAGGTAAACGGCCGTGCAAATGAATGAGGCGCCGAGGCGACGGGCGAGGCGGCGAGGCGCTGCACCGCCGTGTCATATCCGCCGCAGCGCGCTTATTGTGTGGAATGCGAGTCAAGCCGGAACGCCCATGCAGCCCGCCATATGTTCGCGCTCGGCCGCGCCCCGCCCCGCCCAGGGGGCCCCCCCCCGCCCCCCGCCCCGCCCCGCCCGCCCGCCCCGCGTCGCCGCGGCTAGGCCCGGCTCCAGCCTCCTCACCGCCACCTGAGTGTGTGGGACGATCGTGCGTGGTCGTCCGCCTGTGTGTGTGTGTGTGTGTGTGTGTGTGTGTGTGTGTGTGTGTGTGTGTGTGTGTGTGTGTGTGTGTGTGGAAAGGGGGGGAATAAGTCCTCACAGAATGCCATATGCCGTCACTACGCGGTCATTACCGGATCGTTATTATCACTTAGAACAAATCATCGGAACAAGTCGAGAGGCGCTTGAGAGGCGCCGTGTCGGCCCGGCCGGCCGGACTCTCTGGATTGACGGTCGGACGATGCTGTCGTCTGCTGGAGCAGGCGTCACGACCGCGTCATGCCCGCCCCGCCCCGCCCCGCCCCGCTCCGCCACACCACGCCACGCCAAGCACACACACTGGAAACCTGGAACAGCTAGCTGGAGACGGCATTGGAACGGGCCTGCTGGCGTCGGTTCCATCCCATCCCATCCGAGCGTTTCGCTGGTCAACGAACCTCCCGCGCTGTTGTTGCTGCCGCTCCACATGTCCTGCCGCATGCCCGCGCCGCCCTGCGCCCTGCGCCCTGCCCGCGGCCCTACAGTGGTGGCAAGTGGCCGCGCGGCCCATTGTGTTGCAAGCGGCAGTGGCCGAGCACGCCGGAGCCACATGTCCGACATGAACACGTACGGTGTGCTACTTCCGGTTATTCATTTCCGGTTTGGAAAAAAATATCCAATTTGAATGCGCGGCCAGGATGAGTGCGGCAGGCGGCCGACCGATGATGAATCCGTCGAGCGAGGGGTCACGCGGTGAAGGAGGTGAAGGAGTGGGCCACCCAGAAGGACGCGCAGCGTCCGCCGTGCCCGGCGAGGTGCTCCCGCTGCAGCCCATGCTGCCCCTGCTGCAGCAGTGCGGCTGGACGGCCGGTAGCGAGCGACTTCCAAACATGCATTATACATGCATCGCCCCGCTTACGGCCCTTACGGCCCGGCCCGGCCTAGCCGCCTAGCTCTGAATCTGCTCTCGCTCGGCGGGGCGGTCGGGGACGGGACGGGGATGGGCGGGGATGACACGGAATGAGTCTTCCTCGATTATTTCGTGTCGTGGGAGTGGCAGCCCTTCCTCCTTCAGGCTGCTACACCAGCAGACTGATTCCGAGAGTCGTTTTCGTCGCTCTGTCTCTCTCGCACCTACACGGGACGCCCCACGAGTGCGAGAGAGACAGAGCGATGAAAATGACTCCCGGAAACAGTGTGCAGTGCTGCCAATGACGGCGCCTCGCGCTGATTCCGGACAGTGCCCTCGCCCTTCTGTCTCTCTCGCACGCGCTCCGAACGCCCTGCGAGTGCGAGAGAGACAGAGCGGCGAAAGCACAGTTCGGAATGAGTCTGCTGCGTCGCGTCGGTCCCACGCGGGGAGGCGAGGCGCGGCCGGCGCGGCGCGGGAGGATATGAAGGCGCCTTGCGCCGTGCAGCTGCCGAGCGATTCAGAAGAGTCGTTTCGTCGCTCTGTCTCTCTCGCACTCATGGGGCACTCCGTAAGGGTGCGAGAGAGACAGAGCGACAAAGCGATCTTCTGAATCACTCGGCTGATAGAGGGCGTGCTCACGCCGGCCGCCCCGTCACCCCGCCGCCCCGTCTCCTTGCCGGCAGTCCTGGCGTCCTGGGTTATGGCCGGCCCGGTGAAGCGTGTCGCATTTGGTGAGCGGGCGCAGCGTCAGCGACGACACGGCGACGCCACGGCGACGCCGAGGCCGAGAGGGAAGGCGAGGCGAGGCGAGGCGGCCCGTGACCAGGATGCGGCGTGCGCTGGTTGTTTTGTGCAGATGTCACCGCCGCCTTGAACCTTCGACCTCTACTCCAGCCGACAATAACAACTCGCCGTTCGTAGAATATCTGCCCCAGTGGCGCAATCGGTTAGCGCACGGTACTTATAGGTCAGTGCCTGTGAGCGATGCCGGGGTTGCGAGTTCGAGCCTCGCCTGGGGCACTTTTTTCAGACCCTAGTTTGAAGAATTCTCAAATGTCGACCTGAAAACCCTGGTAAATTCATCAGCCCCAGTGGCGCAATCGGTTAGCGCACGGTACTTATACGACAGCGTCTGTGAGCCATGCCGGGGTTGCGAGTTCGAGCCTCGCCTGGGGCACATTTTTTCAGACCCTAGTTTGAAGAATTCTCAAATGTCGACCTGAAAACCCTGGTAGATTTATCAGCCCCAGTGGCGCAATCGGTTAGCGCACGGTACTTATACGACAGTGTCTGTGAGCGATGCCGGGGTTGCGAGTTCGAGCCTCGCCTGGGGCACATTTTTTCAGACCCTAGTTTGAAGAATTCTCACATGTCGACCTGAAAACTCTTGTAGACTCATCAGCCCCAGTGGCGCAATCGGTTAGCGCACGGTACTTATACGACAGTGTCTGTGAGCGATGCCGGGGTTGCGAGTTCGAGCCTCGCCTGGTGCACATTTTTTCAGACCCTAGTTTGAAGAATTCTCACATGTCGACCTGAAAACTCTTGTAGACTCATCAGCCCCAGTGGCGCAATCGGTTAGCGCACGGTACTTATACGACAGTGTCTGTGAGCGATGCCGGGGTTGCGAGTTCGAGCCTCGCCTGGGGCACATTTTTTCAGATCCTAGTTTGAAGAATTCTCACATGTCGACCTGAAAACTCTTGTAGACTCATCAGCCCCAGTGGCGCAATCGGTTAGCGCACGGTACTTATACGACAGTGTCTGTGAGCGATGCCGGGGTTGCGAGTTCGAGCCTCGCCTGGGGCATACTTTTTGCGCTCATATTCTACCTCTCAAAAATCGCAATCCGAGATTAGAGAAAGCCACTCAAGAGCCCCAGTGGCGCAATCGGTTAGCGCACTGTACTTCTAGGTCAGTGTCTGTGAGTGTTGCCGGGGTTGCGAGTTCGAGCCTCGCCTGGGGCAAATATTTTTCTACCTCTCGTGGGCTCAACTTTCTTTTCTTTTCGTCGTATTGCACATTTCGAATCTGTTTGTGCGCGCGGCCCGACTTACAGAGCCACGGCCCGGGCGCGTCCGGTTGGCTGAGGACGGAAGTGAAGGGGGCGCAGACGCACGCAGACGCGGGGCACGCAGACACGCAGGACATAGGTCCTGACTGCCCCACCGCGCCCCTCGCCCGTTGCACTACACTATATTATTCTAATGAAATTGGCAACGGGGAGACAGATGAGAGGTGCTTCCGCCCCGACGACAGGGCCGAGGGGCTGAGGGCTGGCGTGGGGGTGTGGGGCGGTGTGTGCAGCCTGCCGGCGGCCCTCCCCCGCCCCTCCCCCGCCGCCCCGCCTCGCTGGCAGCCCCACTCCCGGGCCCGGCGTGGCGCGGTGTGGCCCGGCGCGGCGTGGCGTAGCGCGGCAGACTGACTCTCCCGCTCCCGACCAGTCTTGAGCGGACTTTCCTCACGAGTAGAGCGCATAGCGCCGCCGGTCGGGTAGGGTTGGGTACGCCCCTGTGGGAGTGCATGTGTGTATGAGTGTTCGCGACAGCAACATGTGCGCGCGCGGAGTGGTGAAGAGTGCATAGTGCATCGCAGCGATTGTGTGTGTGTGAGAGAGTGCGAGTGTCAAAGTGTCACAGTGTCAGTGCTCGCCCACCATGACTACCATGACGTGGGCCGTGGTGTTGTGCCTCGCCGTGCTGGCGGTACTTCCCCGACATGGATTTGCCTTCAACGTGGACGTGGAGTCTGCGGTGCCCTACCGCGGCGTCAATGGATCCATGTTCGGCTTCACCGTCGCCGAGCACCGCGACCGCGGCCAGAGCTGGTGAGTAACATGCCGTACTTGGCCGTGCTCTCGGTGTCCATTGAAGCCAAGTTGTCGAGCAGATGGCGGCGTGGCGCGGCGTGGCGGGGCGTCGGCGTCGCGCCTGGCCCACGGCCTGCAGGAACGGGAACGGCCCGACTTGAGTGGAAACCCAAGTCGAAGTCGGAGGAAGGCCGTCTACTGCCGCCCACGCTCCATGCCAAAAATACTTTGCGCGGGCCGCGCCACCACGCACACCTCGACCTGGTGGCTCGAGCGTTGCCGGCCGAGCGTTGTCGAGCGTCGCCGCGCGTTGCCAGGCGTTCCTCCACCCGGGCTTTCTTTGCCTCCCCGGCGCCGCTTTTCGGCACGGCGCTCGTTAAATTCGCCCGCGTCCCTCCTGGAAGGCGCGGGTGGGCCTCTTACCGCTTGCCTCCGTGTATCCGATTACACCGCAGTCTCTGCACTGCGTCGCTCCGCTTCCCCGGCCCGGGAAGGACGGCTTGGACTAGGCTTGAACTTGACCCAGAAGATGGGCGGAACGGTTGGTCCGGAATCCAGATGCATCCCTAGCAACGCGCCAACGCTCAGCGCGTCCGTCCGGTGTCTCCTCGCCTCACTGTTCCGGCAGCGCGGCGGTGTTCCGGCGGCATGTGTCCATGTGTGCGCCTTGTGGTGTGCAGGCTGTCCAGGCAGGCCGATTCCGAGAGTCGTTCTCGTCGCTCTGTCTCTCTCGCACGCATCGGGCGTCCCTTATTGGTGCGAGAGAGACGGACTGCAGGGCACGCCGGCAGCCTGCACCGCAAGGCATGGCCGCCAGGACCCACATAATACACCAGAAGCCCTGTCCGCCCGGGCCGCCCGGCCGCCGGTTCGCTTTTCGGCGTTCCTTCCCACACACCAACACAGCTGATAGCTTCATGGCCTCCGTGACGCTGGTCGTGGCATGGCGCGGCGAGGGGGCCGGCGCGAAGGGGCAGCCATGCCATGCCGTGCCATGCGCTCCTCCGAGAATGCAACATCCAAGGCCCGAGCGCGCCAAGCTGAGACGTCGCCGCCTGCTGTCCGTTTCCGAGCGACGCTCTCGTCGCTGTGTCTCTCGCGCCCTTACGGGTCGCTCCATGAGTGTGAGAGAGACAGCCTGCGGCTTGCTGGTCGCCGTGCCGTTCGGCGTTCGCCAAGCTCACGGCGATTGGCGGGTGGGTCGCGGTGCCCTGGCGGTGCCGGCGCGCACCCCTGGCGCCAAGGTCGGCGCGCGGCGGCCGGACGGAGTCCTGACGGAGTGGAGCGGGCTGGCTGCCAACAAGTGGGACGTGGCCGTCGGGGCTCCAGCGGAGTGATTCCGCGCAGCGTTTCGTCGCTCTGTCTCTCTCGCGTCCCTACAGGGCGCCGCGAGGGTGGGAGAGAGACGGAGCTCTGTTCGGAATCAGCCCGCAGCGGCCATGCGGGCCTGCCTGCAGTGCCTGCTCCCCGGTCGCGTGCGTGTCACGCAAGGTGGCGTCGCGCGTGTCCCCTGGGGCCGCGGCCCCCTGCGGGCTGTCGCTCTGTCTCTCTCGCACCCCTGCGGCACGCTCCATGAGTGCGAGAGAGACAGAGCGACGAAAGCGCTGTTCGGAATCCGCCCGCTCCGGCAGTATGTATTTCCGCGAGCGGACACACCCCCGGCTGACGCCCTGCTTGGAGCGCGCTAGAGCACGCCGCCCATTTCGGGGAACCCGCCGCCGCCGCCCTGACGATGTCCTGACGGTGTCCTGGCCGCCCTCCGCGCCTGGAATACCATCCACGTTCGGGCGGCGCGCGCTCCTCATGGCTCCTCATGGCGCGTCGTGGACTACGTGACCATCACGACGCCGTAGCGCGACGCAGCGCGACGCAGCGCGCGGCCGGTGTTCCATAACAAGCAGGACCCCCTAGCGTCCAGCCTTCCTGCCGCTGGGCCGCAGCGTCCGGCCCGTCGGACTCGTTGGAGGCGGTGCTGCTGGCGGCGGTGCATCTCTTCGCGAACCGCAGGCTGTTCGATCGGATTGAGACGAACGTAAGTGTGTTGCGTCCTCACGCGGCACGCGCCGTGCGGCCGGGTGGTCGAGGGTCGCGCTGGGGCCCCGGGCCCACACTGCACGTCGCCGTCGACGCGCCCCGGCCGCCCCGTCACCGCGCTGGCTTTCCCGCTGAGGCAGACGCGGCGGTCGTCGGCGTGCTCTCTCTTATTCCATTCCAGGCTTACGCCCGCCCCCGCCCCCGCCGCGCGGCCTGCTGATAAGCGGGCAGTGAATGCCGAATCCGATTTTCAGTGTCTCGTCAACGACGAGCGCCACGACCATTATAAATAGCATTACAACACGTAGAAGCCGTGTGTCAAAATAAAGTTGCCATGCGGATAGCATTTGCGAGTGCACCATCCGCGAGGTGGCATTGTAGCCGGAGCTTTGTATCCTTTGTTCAGGCAGCACTCCCTGCCTGATAAGGCCCCGGACAGTCTGCCTCACCGCACCCGCCGCGCGAGGCGTGCTTTTCGCGAGGAGGGAAACATCAACGGCGTCTGTCCGTTGCTCTGTCTCCCTCGCACTGAAACGGAACGCCCCAGGAGTGCGAAAGAGAAAGAGCTTTTCGCGGGGCAAAAACAAAAAACATCAACACAAAGGCTCCCGTGATATGTGCTACGTGCAACGTTTCTGTGCAGCCGGGGCACCCGGATGATAAGATAAATGAGACGGTGCATTTGTTTTTCACGGATTTCCTGAAAATGACGGTGTGGGGCTGGACGGGGCGAGGCGGGGCGAGGCGGGGCGAGGCGGGGCGGCCATTCACAGCGTGCGACGCTAATCGCGCTGGCCGACGACGAGCAGCGAAAGGAGCCGGCCCAGCCGGCCCGTCCCGTCACTACACCATCCAGTACTTGACGGACAACAACGCCGCAAAACACAATCTCCCTGTCGCACTGCCGTCCGATTCCGAGGGTCGTTTTCGTCGCTCTGTCTCTCTCGCACTCATGGGGCGTCCCGTCTAGGTGCGAGAGAGACAGAGCGACGAAAATGTTTCTCGGAGTCAGTCTCCTGGTTGCGCGGGCTGGACGGCGGCCGGCGGGCTGGCCGATAGCAAGCGGCGCGGCGGCGCGGAAGGAAGGAAGGAAGCACTCGATGGAGTGCTTTTCGTTTTTCCTCGACGAGTGCGTTGCATCAGTTCGATAGGGGCCTCCCGTTCCCGTTCCGGCCCAGCGCCGCACAGCGCGGTGCAGATAAAGACCGCCAGCAGCTCCTCCGTCGACGCTTCCGAAGCGCTTGACGCGGCCCGCGGACTCGGATAGTGCAGTTGTGTGTTTATCCAGCAGACTGATTCCGAGAGTCGTTTTCGTCGTTCTGTCTCTCCCGCACCCATGGGGCGTCGTGTGTAGGTGCGAGAGAGACAGAGCGATGGAATCAGTCTGCCGCGGGCCGCGTGATCGCATTGTGGCGCACCGTGCGACCTTCCCGCGCGGAGGAGAGATGCAGATGCGATGCGAAGTGCGCGTTTATTTCGTGAATACAACGCCTCCACAGCGACACGCAGACACACACATGTCGCGGACAATGACGAGTCGAATGGTGGCCGGCCTGGCCAGCAGCGATTCCCTGAGGCATTCGTTCCGCCGCGTTGTACTCGAAGAACTCCAAGACGGGCACACGTGTTGTGTGAGTGTGTATGAGTGTGTGTGTGTGCGTGAGTGTTTCGGCGACCTCGGCAAGCGCGGGCTCTTTTGTGCACTAAACGAGAGGTGGGCGTGGCTCAGGCGTGGCACCGTCGTGGCCGGGAAGAAGCACCTCCGGCCTCTGGGTACCTTTGGGTACCGACCGTACCGACGCCCCACTGCCACAGCGTGACACGATGTGACTGCGGGCGCAACCCTATCCCACGCCACCGTGGACGAAAAAGCTATAGCTGTGCCGGGGATTTTAAATTTCAACTAATTTCACCACATTCCAAGACCGTGGGCGCAGTGCGTACGCTGTAACCAACAGCAAAAAACAAAAACAGAAAAAAAATGAAAGATGAATCCCGGCGTGGTGCACTACACTACAACCGCCCTGCCGTCATGTGCAGCGTGATGGAGACGATGAATGAGTGAACGGTCGGACGCCTCCCCCCCCCCCCCCCCCCCGGGGGCGGCCAGCGTGCCCTGCTACCCTTTGACACCGGCGCAGCCAGCAGCTCGACCCTCGTCGCGCTCTCTCTCTCTCGCACTCGTGGGGCGTCGCGTAAGGGTGCGAGAGAGACAGAGGCACGATGCCCCCCGCCGCGTTATTTTCGTGTCCCGAGGATTAATTTGCTTCCCGCCTGTCGGACTGGCACTGACGGCGCGTTTCGATCCGGAAACCACCTCCACTCGAAACGCCACGCGTCGAGGAGTCCGGGACGGCGTCCAGAGTCCAGGACGGCGTCCAGAGTCCGGGACGGCGTCCAGAGTCCAGGACGGCGACGACGACCGATCTCGGAGGCGCGGTGCGGCCGTCGCGTCGTCCTGTGTCCCGTTGGCGTTGCCCGACCTGCCGCAACGTTGCGTCGTTGCGCTCGGAGGTCCGCGACGAAGTCCATGAGCGCCGCCGGCACCGCCATGCCGCCGCACCGCGTGCCGAGGAGGCAGGGCAGGAGGCTGGCGTCCTGGCCCAGCACTGCTTGCGCTGCTTGCTTGCTCGCGCTGCGCAGGTGGAGGTCGCTTGGGTTCGGTTCGCACCGCGCCCCGAACACATGGCGCGAGTTGTGGTAAGTGATCCGAGAGTCGTTTTCGTCGCGCTGTCTCTTTCCCACTCATCCCGTTTTAGGTGCGAGAGAGACAGAGTGACGCAAACGACTCTCGGAATCAGTCTGGCTGCACGCCGTCGGCACGCACGGGCTGCGCGTTTATGGCAACGCAAGCACAACGGGGGCCGCTGTCCGCCCTCCCTGCAGTGGGGGTGCGGGCGGCGCACCGTGGCACAACCGTGGTACTCGTTGAGCTAGCGTAGCATCTGGCAGAACAATAGCACCGTACCGGCAGAATTTGTGTC